CTGCACTCCAGTCTGGGTGACTGAGTGAGATTCCAACTCAAAAAAAAAAAAAAAAAAAAGAAAGGCTCTTCACCTGGTTGTACCAAAGCTCAGCTGACTTCCTCCCATCAGGAGGAAATCCTCTGTCCCCACTCCAAATTCCACACAGGAAGCGTTCACTCTCCTGGCAGGAACTAAATGGACTCTCCAAGGTGAATATTTAATTGATCTTGACTTTTTCTAGCACTTTACAAGTTTGAGATTTTTCTACTAGAATGATTTAATATAGTTTTAAAATATCTTCCTTTTAGCTATTTGTGTTCTTTCCGGAGGTGTTAAACGTGGACGCAATTATCCTCTTATGACAGGATTTTTTTTTTTGGCTCAGTAAAGCTTTGTGCTCTGTGACACCTGATGCGTAGGTAAGGGCCCGGGCTTATTTTCTATTAATTCACATGAGCTTCTTTGCCTTAGATAGCTGAAGGGTAGGACGTATGCTTCTCTGAGAGATAAACTACAATCTGCTAAGTGTGTAGGAGAACACTAAAAGCTAGAAAAGATTACGTTCCAGCAAAGTGAAATGTGAAAAATCTCTCTTTTGCATGACTCCATAACGACGGCAGAAAAACAAACAAACAAACAAAAAGCTGGTTAAATGGTTTTATGGGAAGTAACCTAGAAAAGAACGGTCTTTTCGGTTGAATTACTCCTTGTTAGTCCAAATGGGCATCTTTTTTAGAGTGTGTGAGGTATCATATTTTTAGTTGATGGGCCCATGATTTTGAAAGCCTCAGGTTCTTACTAACATTCAGAAAGCTGGGGCAACCGCCAACAGAGGAGATAAAATAAGCTCTCTGATTTCATCCAGCGTGCTTAATGTGAGCCAAGGAAAAATTCTTTTTAACATTCCAAGAGAATAGTTTTTGTTGTTGTCGTCCATAGAATGATGAGGGCACCAGAGTAGACAGGTTGCATTCTGCCAAGACTGAGGCAACACTTAATTGTCTCTGGGAATACGAGACATTTTCTTCTGTGTGAAACTGATGCCAAAACATTTTTAAAAATGCAACTGCTTTCTCCATGTTTAGATTCTAGTGGGAAAGGAGACTATTTCGAAGTAGTCTAGTAAGACTGACACTCCCCTAAGGTCAATAAATCTTATCTCAGGGTTGGAGGTGTCTGAGATGGCACATAGGAAATTGTTTTCAGAACCCAACGAAGCTTTGTGAAACATGGGGAATATTTACAGATGGTTGAAGTTGATAAGAAAAGTCAATTATAACAAAATCATCATCACTTTTACAGAGCATTTCCTGCAGGGCCGCCATCCTGTAGGTCCTTTATGTGTATTTTCTTAGACATGTATCAACTCTAGGAAATAGGTATGATTATCACCTCCTTCCATTTTGCAGATGAGAAAAGTCAAGGTAGAGAGAGGTTGAATAATTTTCTCAGTAACATAAAGCTCATAAAAATGAGAGTTAGGGAGACATGGAGAGCCCTGGAATTCAAGTTCAGGGACTCTGAGTCCTAACACCATAGATTCAACTATGATGCATCACTGCATCCAGGAATCCTTTTATGATTAAGACCATTGGAGGCCCGAGATGACATAGGTAGTTTGCCTTTGTTCTCTTCCACCTTCTTTTTATTCTCCTTTAAGGGTTTCCACTACTCATTTTAATCTTGCTCTGATTGCAAACCCCTGTTTCACTTCTCTAGAATTTTGTTTTCTAGAAGAGATTACCACTGGAAGTCGGTGGCTACATTTGTTTACAAAGACTTCAGGAGTCACTCCTTAGGGAGATTTGCATTTCGATAGGAGATTTTTAAGGAATAAAAAGGTTTTGGATCCACAGGAGCCAATTCTAAAAGAGCTTCTCCATTTCAGGCCCCTGGACATGGTGTTTTTCAGGCAGGGGGTTCTGTATGAGGTCCTCCAATCACACTGTGGAATGTGAAGTGACAACTTTCTCATCTCTTGGAAAGGCTTCTTATAGTGCAGGAATGGGGGCAGAGTCAAGGAAAGAGGAGACATTGCACAGGTGGGGAGTGATCCAAAAAGAACTTGGAGGAAGCACCTGGAATCTCATCACATGGTGCTGAGTTGAAACTCCATCTCTGCTAATTTCTAGCCATGTGACTGTGGATAAATGATGAAAGTCTCTTGCATTAAAAAATACCTTCTTTATCAAGTTTTGAGGACTAAGTAAGATAAAGACTGAAAAAGGCAGCAACCAAAGGCTTGTCTACAGGGAGGAGGTTCTTAGCTCAGGTTAACACCCTCCCTCCAACCCCTGCCACACTGTGTGTGAGTTGGAAGAGATCAGGAAGGATCATGGTCCAGGTTGATGGAGGTGAACTGTCTAGAAAAAAAAGAGGCTACTTGTTGAGAGACTGATTGCTTGACGTGAATCTTTTGTTTCTTTTTTTGAGTTGGAGTCTCACTCCGTCGCCCAGGCCAGAGTGCAGTGGCACTCTCACGGCCACCCCAGTGTCGACCTGCTGGGCTCCAGCGATCCTTCTGCCTCAGCCTTCCAAGTAGCTGAAGCTACAGGCGCGTGCTACTACACCTGGCTTTTTTTTTTTTTTTAATTTATTGTAGAGATGAGGTCTCACCAAGTTGTAGAGATGAGGTCTCGAATCCGCAGGCTCAGGCAATCCATTCACCTCGGCCTCCCAAAGTGCTGGGATTACAGGCTGAGCCACTGAGCGCCACAAATGTGAATCAGTCTTGTAGTACTCATTCATTCATTCCACAGAGAGTTACTGATTGCTTCTGCAATTCTCTTGAGCTTGAAACTTCCATGACTACACTTGGAAATGCTGATTTTGTAGGATCTTGTTTTTATATACTTAGAATCTGATAAACCCAGCCAACTGAAGGCATTAAGTTCCAAGTAGCCAGAACTTAATTAACCTTCCGGCACTGATATCTTCTCTTGATCCTTCTTCAGATATAACTTCCAATGAGAACTTCAGAAAGTTAAACAATGATTATTTTCCGTTCTACCACATTATCCTGGAACAAGGTGCACAGAATAACTTATTAAATCAGAATATATTTTATCAGCAGATCTACTGCTAACTGCTGGCCACTATTCTCTCTGGTTAGTGTACACACGTAGCAAGGGAGAATATCAAAGCGTAGTAATTTATTTACTCAGTTTAGAAACCTCACAGCTCCTGAGTTAGCTGCAGCAATTGAAACCACATAGGTTATGTAAACCACTGAATTTTTTTTTTTTTTTTTTTGAGTTGGAGTCTCACTCTGTTGCCCAGACTGGAGTGCAGTGGCCACTCCCGGCCACCACAGCCTTGACCTGCTGGGCTCCGGCGATCCTTCCGCCTCAGCCTTCCAAGTAGCTGGAACTACAGGTGTGTGCTACCACGCCCAGCTAATTTTTTGATTTATTGTAGAGATGAGGTCTCACCAAGTTGCCCAGGCGGGTCTCAAACCCGCAGGCTCAGGCAATCCACTCACCTCGGCCTCCCAAAGCGCGGGATTACAGGCTGAGCCACAGAGCCTGGCTAACCACTGAATTTTTTAAGAGCTTCTCTGGACTTGAATTGAGGATCACAAGCTATATTCTTGTTCTTCAACTACAACCATGTATTTAGTGATGCCTGACACTCTGGCCCTTGAGTTGTAGACTAAACAGGCCAAGAACAATAGATATAAGTTAGGACTGACTTAGAAACTGAGAGGAGGTGATCTCAGTAATCCTGCCATGGCACCTTGCTGTTGGGGTTTGCCAATATCCTCCATTCTCACCAGCCTGGGCATACAAGTAAAGTCGTGGTAATGTTCATGTCAATTTCCTGGTCTTGGGGCTTCCTTACTACATAGTTGCTGGACCTCTCAAGTCAAACTCTCCCACTTTCTGACAGCTTGGAAGGGCTGTCTCACAGTGCTTGAGAAGAGGTTTCACCCGTCGGGTACAACTGCTGTCTCACCAGCTCTGCCCAGCGTTGCTGTGTCAGCTGCTGTTGCCCCTTGGGAAGAATGCCACTCTCCACAGAGCATTATTCCCTGGGGTTTCCCAGTGTGTCACAGGGTTCCATGTCCTCTAAAGACTTCACTAAACTGCTGGAGCTACAGTGTGTTCCATATAGAAAGAGAAACAGAGAATCATCCCCTCCCCAATTCTGTGTCCCACTCATCACCTGGACCCTGAGTTAAAACAGCTTGGCACACAAGTAACTGCTTCTTCAGATTATGTGTGTGTCCCCACCACCCCCTCTGTTACCTTATGAGGGGGCACCAGAGACAGAAGGAGAGCCATATCACCCCTTTCTCTGTTTTCAACTCTCCTCTCTCTCTCTCCTAAGTGCCCATCGGCCAACTTTGTTCTTTTTCCTTCAGCCGAAAAGCAAGTCTTTCTAGATATCAATTCAGGCAGACCCATACCTTGTGAGTCACCGGCCTCATCTTCCCAGTCTTTATTTAGGCTCAGCCAGGCCCACGCTGCTACCCATTTATGGAGCTGTCTGGTTTCGCTGAGCTCATAACCGTAAGGGAACTGAGATGCCATCGGGGTCTTGTGGTGATTAGAGCCAGCAGTCACTGCAAGTGATCAATATATGAGGACTACCCTCAGTGGAGGGATCACAGTAGTAGATAGAAGAACTGTTCTTAAGGAGCAAACTCATTTCAGCATGATTACCTGTTGAATGAGATACAGCTCAAGACGTGAAGGCAATTCAGTTGAAAAGACAGCCCTGCATGTAGTTGAGAACAAAGTATTCATTTTTGTGGCCTTCCACAGTATGGAAGTTCGTTCTCATATTTTCAGTTTTCCGGGGGCAGGGAGTCATGGAATCCAGACAGAAGGAAAGGCACACCATCCTCATCACTTGGGCTTCAGAGGAGCTAGGAAGACAGAAAACACAGGCAGTTATAGAGTTTTTTTGTACAGTGTGTCATGTTTTAATGACCAGGATCTTCTGTGCAAGATATCAGGAAGAAGGCACTGTTTTATTTATAATCTCATCCCCTTCTGCCTTTCTACTTGAAACAGGACCCCCAGTCATTCATTCTGGAATCAAAGACCTCAAGGTCTTGAAAACGACCCAGTCTGGATTTGAAGGCTTCATCAAGGACCAGTTCACCACCCTCCCTGAGGTGAAGGACCGTTGCTTTGCCACCAAAGTGTACTGCAAGTGGCGCTACCACCCGTGCAGGGACGTGGACTTTGAAGCTACCTGGTATGGACATGGGCTAGAAGCTGGCACTAGGGCAGGGCTGGCACTGGGGCAGGTACTGTCTGCTCTCTATCCAGAGGCCCAAAGTTCACCAAGTCTTAGGTCTGAAAGGGAAAGTTAGGTTCCATTCTACACAACCTCTCCGCTATTCAGAAATTTCTTCTGGTTTTTTAATGTGTTAAATCAGTACTTCTCAGACATGAATGTACATCAGAATCACACAGAATCAGAAAATGAAGCTCACTAGGTCCATCCCCATAGGTTCTGATTCTGTAGGTTGGAGGTGGGACCTGAGAATTTGCATTTCTAGCAAACTCCCAGGGATGCAGATAGCGTTGGACCAGGAACCAGACTTTAAGAACCACTGCATCAAATGAAGAGAATATCTGACCTTACTACCTCATAGTGATGCAGAGAGGGCTAAACTAGGGTGACCAACCTATCCCAGTTTGCCAGATACTTTTATCTTTTAACACTGAAATTCCCATGTCTCAGGAAATCCCTTGGTTCTAGGCAAACTAGGACAAACTCAAAATGATATGATATTCACAGAAGCATTTTAGAAATAATAAGTGCTTTAAAAAAATTCTCCTTAAAGAACACACACAGAGAGAGAGAATTTCCAACGATATTGAGTTTATTCAGAAATGCACAGGGAGTTTGCCAGTATGGGATATGCAAGCTATGGGTGCCATAGGCATACTCAAAGAGGTCAAGACAAGCAGAAGTTTTTAAAGGTAAACTGGAAAAGTACACAAAATTTGTTTTAAAACAGAGAACAGAAACACTGGTTACAGCAACTTATTGCAGGAGCTGAAACAAGTTTATTAGTGGAGAGGGTGTGCCAGGCAAGTGTTCTTGAACCTCTGGCTAGCTGTCCTTGTGACACGTAAGTTCTTGTTATAGGCATAGGCATGCTAATAGTTCTCACAGGCAAGTGTGCATGAGGGCCCTCCCTCAGCCTCTGGCTTATTTGTTTATTTTGTTAGAGTTTGACATTCTGATAGCTTTCGTAATATAAAGGTATAATGATGATTACAATATTCTTGACAAGGAGTTATTAGGCCTCTGAACTTCCAGAGCTTGCTTTTGGACTAAGTATCTCATTCCTTTGCTAAAGCTCTAATTGTTAGAAATTTTTACTCTATGACAAGCTAGAATCTGCACACCTAACCCTCCTTCCTCCCAACCACCCCCGTAGTTTCCTCCCACTGGTATAGTTTTTCTCTGATCCTTTTATTATTTGATAGGTCTTAAAATGCTTGAAGAGAACGTCGCTTCGGTCCTCTTTCCTCTTAATTTCAAGTGTTCCCCATGGGCAGCAGCCTTATGTATTTATGTTGAAAAAAGCACAAAATTGGACATGCCAAAGTTAGCGTAATATTGTAGGCTGGGCTTCCCACTATATGAAGGGACTTAGAGTAGATCATTTAACTTTGAAGCTCAGATTCCTCATCTCTAAATTGGGGATAATAATAGTACTTACTTCAACTATATTGAGAAATTCAATGACATAATCACATAAAATGCTTAGCCCAGAGTCTAAGCATTTACCCTAGTGTAATAATTCAAGGAATGAGCCAAGAAGAGCTATAACATGGTTAGAATACTCGAGAGCCCTCTTCATAGGTTCTTCAAACATGGTGGGAGATTTACCCTGAAATGCCCACTGGGCTCTGGTGCCAAACCAGAAAGACAGCCTGGTGATGCTCAATATGTTTGTTGAATGGTGTGTGTGTGTGTGTATGTGTGTGTGTGTGTGTGTGTGTGTGTGTGTGTGTGTGTGTGTGTGTGTGTGTGTGTGTAGGGGAATGGAAAGTGAGTTTTGGATAGGAGCATTGGCATTACAAGATATTCATCTCTTCTAAAACCAGTAATACAGTTGTTTTCTGGGAAACAGAAAAGTCATTACGTCTTGGCTTTATAATGCATTCCTAAAATTCCATCTTACCAGAATCCTCAGTGACCTTCTCTGTGTTTCAGGGGCACTGTTCGGGACACTATCCTGGAGAAATTTGCTGGGCCCTATGACAAAGGCGAGTACTCGCCCTCTGTCCAGAAGACCCTCTATGACATCCAGGTGCTTTCCCTGAGCAGAGTGCCTGAGGTATGTTTTGTCAGTTACCATTCTGAGGATTGAGAGGACGTGTGTCTTCTGTCAGCTCTAAGAAGGAGTTGAGAGTTAAAATAAGAAAGTGGAAGACACATGAAAAATGACATCTGTTGTTGTTCAAAAGCTTGTTATAGCAAGTGGGAAGAGAGCAAAAAATGGAAAAATCTGTCCAACCTGAAAACACAGACCACTGCTGTAGTTCTTCAGTTTTGTTGAAAATGCTTGAGCCCTTCCACCTGCAACTGATTTAAACTTCATATTCAGGACACTTGAATGTCTTGAGAAAGAGGTAATTAGATGAAGGTTCTGTGTTTCAGGGAAGTCAGACAATGAAAGATAGATGTAAAGAGAGTTCATCATCCATCCTTCCATCCATCCATCCATCCATTCATCCATCCATCCACCCACCTCCCCACCCATTCATTCATTCTTTTCTTTCATATTATTGAATGGTTATTATGTCTCTGTTAGCACATGAGGGGTACGAAAATAAATCAGACATAGTCCCTGTCCTCAAAGAGCTCATCATTTAGTGAACAAAGAAAGTAAGTAAGCAATACAATAGAGAATAGAGTATCATGAAAATACAGAGCAAAGCACCCAACTTAGCTGTAGGGAATAGACTTAGTAGGTTTTCTAGAGGGAGAGGTGTTTGAGTTGAGTCTTTAGGGACAAATAGAGGTTGTCTGGGTCTACACTCAAGAGTGAAGGATCAGGATAGGTATGGAGACAGGAGACAGCATGATATAGTCATTTCCTGTTGAGAGTCTACCATATGCAAGACTCTAGGAGTGAAAGTCTACCATACGCGAGGCTCTAGGAGTGAAAGTCTTTCTGTGTGCCTGGAGATGAGGCCAGGACCAGTTAAGAGGGCCTTTGTAGCTTATTATAGGTTCCATATTTATCCTGAAAGCTTTCAGCAGTCACTGAAGGGTTTATGCAAGGTGTTTTGTGACAAGATTTGTCTAGAAAAATCGCTCTGACAGAAGTATGATGAATTAAATGGTTGATGGATCATAGGCAAGGAGGTTTATTGGGATTCTATTGCAGAAATCTGTCAAAGATAGCCCAGGTCAAGGTCATGGTGGGGATGGGGAGGAGGAAGACCACCCACAGACCTGGAAAGAGAGACCCCTGCCATTGCCCAGTGAATCTGAGGCCCCCATCAAACCTTCCTCTGGTTTTGACTCCCTCCACTGAGTGAAGAGTTGGAGAAGTCAAGGTAGCACACCATTCAGGGGCCCACACAATCCCTCAGAATTTTCTTCCCAAATAGCCCTGAGACTACTTCCAGAACCTGAGCAAACCTCTTCTCGGGATCTGTCTTCCATAGGGCAGATCATGTTATTGGTGAGCACCCATAGGTCTGAGCGTGTGTAACCAGGCAGATGTTTGTGGGCAGTATGGAAGCCTGGAGTGTCCACCCATGTGGGTCTAAGAGGTGGCATGTGCCAGGGGCTGAGGGCTGGCTCTTCCCATGATGCCACGTTCTGGCATAGCACTCTAATGAGTCACATAATTTTAAATTAAAACCTGGCCTTCCAGATTGTTATGGAGGTGAATTTGTCAAGTTAGAAGAATAGAACATTCACTTAAAAGGTTTTTTTTAAAAAAATCTTGTTACATACATTTAAATCCTGATACATCTGGTATGTGGATCTCCAATTATACTCTTACCCCAGGGCCTATATATGTTAGGGACAGACCCGGAGAGGAGGACATAGAATGAGGAAGAACTTAGAAGATTGAATGACCAGTACCTTGGATGCTGAAGAAGTCCCCTAGGTTTCAGACCCAAGGGGCACTTTCTTTCCAAAGAAGCAGGTTTTGTCGCCCAAGGGGTAAAGAGAGGGCCCATCGTCTAGTCACAGGACAAGCAGGAAAAAATAGTGCCAGGCCATGGAGAAACATCAGAGGGTGTCTCCAAGACAGAGAGGGAACCTGAGTAACAGGCAAGGGGGCAGGTGGAGGAGGGTGGCTGGAGAGACAGGTAGACTCACAGTTGCCCAATGTGACACATACTGTTGTGGATTCCAGATAGAAGATATGGAATTCAGCCTGCCCAACATTCACTACTTTAACATAGACATGTCCAAAATGGGACTGATCAACAAGGAAGAGGTAAGAGAACTTTAAAAATATTTACAGCACATTACTGTCCCATCCCTCCTTATGCCTCTCGATAAACTTGGGATGATAATATCGCTGACTGGAACTCGTGACAGCTTTTGCTTTGGGGAATATTTATAGTTGCTACTGATTCAACTCTGGGCCCTTCCATGCCCAAGGCTGGAGTGCCCTAGAAGTGGATGAATGATTACAAGGGTTGGAAGTTGCAGAGGGAAAGACAGGGAAGGAATAGAGCGTGCCCAAGGAAATAGCTCTGAGATCTACTTCTCTGAAATGTGTCACACGAGGTCACAGCTTCATTATTCTTCCAGGCAATGAGGAAGGAAAAAATGATTCTGTTTTCATTTTCTCCCATCAACTCTACCTTTTGATTAAGTAGTCAATTCAGTGACATAAAATTCACACAAGAAAGAGGGAGTATTTGTGTCTCTAATTGCAATTACAGAAGGCAAGATGAGGAAATTCACTTTTCAAAAGGAAATCCTTGTCTTGGGAAAAAATGTTTACCCCCACTTTTTTATTTTTAGCCATGGCAGAAGGTTAAACCTCTCAGTGTGTCTGACTAGACAGCCCAAAATCCTGACAGTAGCCTGTTATGGTCAATTTTTGAGAGAGAAGAACTGTCCCTCCCTCTTGGATCACTTTCAAAATGATAAGATTTCTCAATTTGATCCATCTTCCTGCAGGTTTCTAGATTCTGCAAAACAATATATGAGGTCATTTCTTTTTAGTATGTGTGGGGGAATGATACAGGGAAGGGGCCATCTATTAGCATGGCTCTGCTCCTCTTTGGTGAATAAAGGCTAATGAATGGGCCTCCAGAAGGTTCCACATTCTGGGCTTGTTGATACAGGAGCCGCACAATACCTCTGACCAGGTACCTTGTTTCTGTCTGCAGTGTTGGTGGACTCTGCAAGGCTTTGCACCACCATCAGCTGCAAGTGGAGGCTGGTGTGGGGGGGTGGCATTGGGAAATAAAGGTCATGCTTAAGTGCCTGATGTAAGTGACCTAGAGTCCTGAGTTGCCGAGGAGAGCAACCTTGGCGCCCTGTGCTGTTCATTCCACTGAAAGGAAGGACAGCACTATTCAGAAGAAGGAAAGGTTGATAACCACCAGAATGCTATGAATTAGAATGCAATTAGTTAGAATGGAATGCCTTTTTAAAGCCTTCTAAAGGGAAGGAGAGGGACCTGAAATCAATCCTAGACATGTCCACAAGAGGTAGACAAATGGGCCCTGCACAGAAAGAGGATCAGCTGTCATGGCTAGAGAAGTGCTGAACTCAGGATACCAGGCAGAGAGAGGAGGGTCTCCTCAGGGCTCCCTGACACCTTAGGTCAGCACTGACCCTAGCTCGAGGACTTTCTGGTGGGCTGAGGCCACAAGGTTTCTGCCTCTATGAAGTCAGACTCACAGCTTCCTCCTAAAGACCAACTGGGGACCTGGAGGCAAGAAAACCTGAGCTCCTTTGCATCAGGGCTTTGCATAAAGGCACCCAGGTGGCTGACCAAGCTGTCCCTGTGTCTGTAGTTTGGGGATAGCTGGAGCCGCTCTTAGACTGTCACCCAGCAGGTGGTACAAAGCGAAGGCAACACAAGAGAAGCAGGAAGTTGGGTACATTGACAACAGCAGAGAAGTGGCAAATGGCAGGGTGGGAAGATGGAAGAAAGCTAACAGCACAGCTGTCTTGAGCCATTTAGCATTGACTGCAAGACCTCAGACGTGCCAGAGGGCATGGTGGTATTACAGCATTGGACTATGATTGATGTCCAAAGTGAGTCACCAAGAAAAGGTCAATTATTTTCACTAGGCTCTATTTTAAAAGCAGGGACATGTAATGCATTTTGGAAAAATTTATATCTCAGTGATTAAAATCTTTCAAAACCTTTTAAGTCTTCTGGAAAATCAACTCATCTCTCAACAATTGCCAGAAAAATAAGGCATTACCATGCTTGAAATAACTTTACCGTGAAGCACATATATTTTCCTGTTTGACAAATTGTTGTGTTGTTGTTGTTTTAATATCGATTCATAGAAAGAAGGCAAGAGTTATCTTAATGTCTCTGAAATTACCATGTGGTTTTTCTACAGGTCTTGCTGCCATTAGACAATCCATATGGCAGAATTACTGGCACAGTCAAGAGGAAGCTGTCTTCAAGGCTGTGACATGGTGGCCCCAAACAAGAGTCTACTCTCAGTTGAGGAATTTTTTAAGTCATTTGCGATGTGAGAGGTTATAGTATGTAACCATGCAAATGTTCAACCTAGTATATTGATTTATAGTGTTCGTTTCCTTCTGTATGAAATAATTTATTTCTTCTACACCTAGCTCAGCAAGGCATTTTGTAAATTACCTTATCAGTAATTATAACATGCTTTATGGCTATAGTTTACTTTAAAAATGCTGAGCAGTATTAGAACAATTGTAAATCAATATTTCTTTTTAATTGTCTTATGCCTGCCTGTCTTAGAGAAGCTTTAAAATCAATTCATTAAGAAAACAATCATGAATTAATAGGGTTGTCATATCAAGTAATTTGTGCACAAGTTTAAGAAGCAAATATTGTTTTCATCCTCCTGGTGTTTCTGGATAATGCAGAAAATGTAATAAAATCATATTGAAAAATAGCACCATTGTAACCTCAATTGCTGAATATTTGAGTTTTTAAGAATGCCCTAGCATAAATAGTTAATTTTTGCTCTGATAGTACTTTTGTGATATTAATGTATTAATTGTATGACTTTTACAACCTTTAAAGAATATTTAGTACCTATCAGTGCACTGAAAAAGA